TCAGGAGATTCATCGAAACCAAGTTTCTCTTCGTTTCTACAATGAAAAAGAAGTCGTATGTACTGTAATAAGAATTAATGTCGTCTCTTATTCATGGATAATCCATGGCATTGGGTATGAGCATGTTTCGAATATAATTTGAGGCTTGAATTGCCCATGAAACACTTGATTTCGTAGCTATGTAGCGGTGTGGTAACATGCGGTCAAAAATATGCGCGACTGGGTTTCGAATCACATTGGGAATTATAGGTAGGCGGAGTCGAAAGTACAGGCCACCCTGAATGAGAAAACCATTTGGCGTGCAAAGGTAAGTGGCATTAGATGAAATCGTGAGACTTACAGATAGTATTGAGAAAAATTCTACTATTAGTCTTCGAATCACTCGAAACGACTTAGGGTGACTAATTTCTTAAATGCTATAATCAATAATTAATATCTGAAGTAAAAGATATCAATCAATATTTGCTGCTGCATACCACAAAATTGTGAAGTACTCGAGAAATATAAATACATCTATAGTACAAATAGATTAGGGCTCAAACGCGAGCCTTTCTTATTTTGATAGAATACCCGAGAACAAAACCGTAAGCTTTCGATCGGGAATTCCAAGACAAAGATAGCGTAAGGGTTCTGTTTGGTCACTGCATATGATCGATATGGCCTCGTTTATGCAGCCTGGCCATAATTACAGGGAAACTTACAGGAATCTATTATATAGGGAATATTTAGTAATTTGCATCATGCGCTCTAAGTTCAGCTATGATCTACACAAAATATTTACCCTCCTAAGGCTTTATCGCCCCTCTTACTCCGATTCAAACCCAAGAAAGCCAATATTAATCCCGACCAAGCTTCATAAACATATGGTATCTTACAAATTTCAGCTAGCATTAAAAGAATAAGTCTGGTAAGTTTCATCTTCGATGCTAAAATCTCATTGGTTTGGGAAGAATTGTAGCTTAGTTCTGGGAATGGCAAGATGCATTGACGATACCGGCAAAACGTCTGAGAATATACTAACTCCACGATCCGACGCTTTGAAATATGATAACTACTGTAATAGAAGATTTCGGATAATGTGCACTTAACTGAGTTGCCCTAACAACACGACTACGTGGCTAAATCAAGGTCATACCATATCTATACATCGAAAGGAAACTGGGACCAAAATAGAGGCCACAATATCATAGTCTTAGTATCCCGAATGATCTACTTCAATAGGAATTATATCACTCAGTAGCAAAAGAGTGAATAATATATCCTTCATGATTAATCTGAATACGAAAACTTCACTAAGAGCATCTTTATAATCAAACCATTCAGATTTGCAAAGAAAAGTTTGGTTTCGAGGAATCTCTTGTTTCATAATTGTTGGGCTTACTTCCATTTCGAGTGAAAGTGTTGGGTAAAGAGATGCAAAGGTCGGCTCCACCAGAAGACGACGGCGTATTCCTCTTGAACAGCTGTCGATTGGCTTTACTGGAAGATTCATGTTGACGCTGTTTACGAGGCAATCTCCTTCGATTCAAGCTAACGAGTCAAGGAAACTCACCGGCAAATCCCTAAAAAGTGGTATATATATACTCTAAAACTGGCCTCTGATCTAGTATAAAGTGATTTGGTTAGTTAAGGTCATATGGCAACTTCGATGCATGTGAGTGTGCCTGTCTGTATTTTTATGTGCCTTTTTGTTTTCGCTCATGCACGAAACCAGCAGTGATGGCTCAAATGTAATTCGGTTAGCAAAAAGGAACATCTGTTTTTGGACATCAAGGTTTGATGACCCCTATCTCCCCCTTTCTACCTTTAAGTTATAACCATCTCTCCGATCGCGCAAGGTTGGACTGGTTGATGAGCCTATTTTTTGTTTTGGTCTCAATGCGAGAGAGAAAGAGTGAGCTAAAAGTACAGACAGGTGACTATCATTAAAGCCAAAAACAAGAAAAGACTAGTTGCGTCGTTTCCTTTTTGCAGGCGGCTCAACTCCCTCTTTATTCTTCAGTCTATTAATTAAGCACAAATAGTTTTTACATATCTTCTTGCCGGTATTCCTTACATTCAAGGTATTTCCTATTCGGTTTATTTATATGGCTTGTCTCATTTTACGTTTGGCCGCAAATATACTATCAACAAGTTCGAGACCATTCAATCTCGTGCCCCGTTTCTGAACTGTGTTCAGCAAGCTCTGATTTTTGAACCCAACAGCGAACGAAGATGTTCTCATCATTATATTGCATAGTAAATATTCAAACAAATTGAAGAGGATTTATAAGATTGGGTCAACTCGAAATATATTAGAATGTTAGTCAAAGTACCTGAGAAACTGTAACTTCATTTGATAGATCCCCTTCCTTAACGTCATATTCATCGTCAGTTTCCTCCTCCCCTTCATCCTCTTCTTCATCGTCATTATCATCGTCATTATCATCGTCCTCATCCTCGTCATCCTCAACATCTTCTTCCTCAGTATCCGAGGCCAATTCCTCGAGTTGAGGCCAAGAATGCTCAACAGAAGGATCAACCGAGGGGCCGCGACGTCGAACCAGGCGAAGGGCGATTGGCTGAGAGTTCGTGACCTTCAGTATGGAAGTAGACGAATGGGGCGGGGATAAAGCAGATTGCGAATGAGAAAGAGAGATAGGAGCTGATTCAGATGCAGCTGAAGACGAAGGAGAGTAAGAGAGCGAAGTATCTAAGCCAACATTAGAGGCACACGATCGTTTTCTCCCGGCTAAAGCCGAAATTCTAGATAAATTTGGCTTTGAGCCATCTTGGGCTATTTTAACATCCTTAGTCGATAGCCAGGCATTGTCGGATGCAGCGGATACTGCCGGGACATCTCCACGGTCAGTGGGCACAGAAATATGGCTTGAAACTCTCTTGCGAGCTGAATCAGACCTTCGGCAAAAGGAAGGTCTGACCCGCTTTCGGCCAGCCATTGATTTACATGAATTTGACACCAAACTCGGCGTAGCTTTCTCTGTTGTCGTCTTGCTACAAGAAGAAGAGGCATCTTCGTTCTGAGTAGCATCTGTATGACAAGATGTGTGAGAGCAGGACTTTGACGGAGCTGACGAATCTTTCATAGCTGAGGATGCCAAGACAGTGTCCACCGAAAGAGATGCCAAATTAGTTGGAGGAGGCCGAAATGTGGTCATATTGGAGCCAGATGAACTAGCAGAACGTCGGAGGCGGCGCGGCGCATTAATATCAACCTGTAGCTCCTCGGGACCAGAAACGATAGCCTTAGTGCAGAAGTGGCACTGCCTGTTATAATAAAAGCGAAAACCAGATTACAAGAGCGAATTTTTTTAAATAATGGGCTAAGTCTATTGAAGGCAATTAGCAGATGGCAAGTACAATATACTGTACAAAAAAGGTATTATTGGAATGATGGAGGATCTAAACACGATGAATGAGAAGTGATTGCTATATTGAACTAGATTGCCACAGCCCAAAAGACCTCTTTCGTCCAGGAGGAAATACAATGCCGACTTTTCTAGAACGATTAGCTCCTATGTAATTTAAAAGAATTACTTTATATTCCAAGCAGTACACTGGTAATACAAGCAAGTCCTTCCTAATTCATAAAATTATGAGAACTTCTTATCGATGGGCGACCGTCCGTGGAGTGAGATAGGCGAGTTCGAAACTGCAGTCTATCCTTAAAGAGAACGGTTTTTTGGGATACATTACTGAATGAAATTCACTGCAAAAGTAAAGCAGTATTTTTAAATGATCACGAGCAGACTCGATATGAATAG